TGTTTTGTTATTAGTTTAAGTATTTGCTATTGACTGTTCAAATGCGGAGTTTTGCGCAGCGCAGAGTAACGTGTTGTGTGTGTGTGTGTGTGTGTGTGTGAGGGGAACAGGGTCACATCACAGGAGAGTGAACTGCCTGTCAGAAATCATAGCACGTCAGCTGTCTTAACCGCGGCTTGTGTACTGCATCATCACTGTGTCTGTCACACGACTCTGTTGCCCTTTCGGGCTTAAACTGATGGTAAAACTAACAACATTATTAACTGTCTTGATATTTACTTTGAAAGCTGAAGCGATTATGGTAAGGGGTGTTACATTTCCGACGCATGCTTGTGGTGTTCGGCCAATCACAATGCACTGGGTCAGCTGGCCAATCAGAGCAGACTGCGCTTGTCGGAAGGAGGGGATTTGCTGAAAACGACGTGTTTGAGAGAGGCGGGGCATAGAGGACCTACAATAATGTACAGTATTTGAAAAATAATGTGTTTTTTAACATTAAAGCATGTCAACATATTCTGTTACATCAAATACACAAAATAATGATCTTTAAAATAGCATCATATGACCCCTTTAAGTTATAACATGTAACATGACCTCAGCAATAACTTAACTCGCAAATTAATATTTTTGGTCGCAAATGCGACCGTTTTAGTCGCAGTCTGGAGCCCTGATGAGTTTGCTGGTGTCCAGAGTGTAACTCAGTGAGCAAGAGCCAAACAACCTGCAGGGCTCTGCTGCAGTCCCTTGCAAGCACAGCTCATTAAAAAGTTAGATATCAGACTGCTATTCACTTCGGGGTTGCACCATAGGAATACATATCCCACGACCCTGAGCATTTGCTGGAAACTGCTGGACAGCATGTTTTTGGTCTATAGGGCACATGATGCTGCTCATAAAAAAAAACAGAGGTAAGAAAAGTGGTACTCACTTTGTCTCCACTGGAGTAGAAGAAGTAGCGCAGACGGACAATGTTACAGTGATCCAACTTCCTCATGATCTGTAACTCACGATTCTGACATAAAAACAATTGATAGACAGAGAGAAAGAAAGAATCATGAGAAATGACATCAATATAATGCTAAATGGTTATAAGGCTAAACTAGTCACTTTAAGACTAAATGATAAACCAACAATAAAGAAATTCTTACCTTAAACCTCTTATCCTGCAGCACCTTCTTTATGGCCACCAGCTCTCCGGTGCTGCACAGCTTCGCTTGATATACGACCCCAAAAGAGCCATTCCCGATGACCTTTGTGTCCGTGTAGCTGACCTCCTGAGGTCGGTCGGGTCCCTGACCGGGGGTCGCGGCCACTGTTGTAACTTTACTGCCATCTTTATCTCCTAAAGAGAGAGAGAAAGTACAATGACTATTCCTTAGTAATGAACTGGCCTGTTTTACATGGTCACATGCTCTCTAGGTGCTACTATGCTCATTAGCGTGAGATCCTGTGTGTAACATTTATTCACCTGAGCTCATTTTTTAGTTAAAAACATCCGCTTCACACCACATCAGTTTCGCACCACTGAGCAAGTGCTTGACAACATGAAAATGGGAAATATGAGGACAAAATGGGAACTGTCCACAATTATAAAGTAGAAATATATTTTGAAACTCAGTACTCAATTATTCTCCCTCTCTGTGAATTCATATTTCTATTAAAAGAGTATTCCTCTCTATTAAATTAACTTTTTAAAATGAATCTTCCAATGCACCAAAGCTCTGGTTTCTTGGCATAACCATGTGTAACCTGGTCTGCGGTCAAGAAATAGAAAGCTGACTAAATACTTATGTGAGTTTAAATTATGGATAATTTCATTTTATAGTTAGCTGATGGGATAATTCATCTGCACAAGTAGACTTTAATTGGAAACTAAAGATAGATCATCATTTAGAAAGTGATCTAGTCCAGGACAAAGGCCAAAAATCTGATAATAAATTATGTAAATAGTAATATTTTGAAATTATTATTGAAGTAACTTTTTCAGTTTTAAAATATAATTTATTCCTGTGATGCAAAGCTGAATTTTCAGCATCATTACTCCAGTCTTCAGTGTCACATGATCCTTCAGAAATCAATCTGATATGCTGATTTGCTTACTTCTTATTATCAATGTTGAAAACATGTAAATTTTCGTGGATTCTTGATGAATAGAAAGCATTTTTTTTTAATTGAATTTTTGCAATAAAAGGAAATATCTTTCCTGTCAATTCTGATCAATTTAACGCTGAATCAATTACAAATATATATTAAACATAAATATATATACTAAATATACTAATCTAAATATTTATTTAAAAATGTTTATGCTGAGTTTCAAGCAGGCCCATTTCTGAAAATAATCCAGGTAAGGGAAGCAATTGTGAACCTGTTCTTTAGTGTTTATTACAGACACTCCCTACAGAATGAAAGTACAAGGAAGGAAATATCAGATTTACCAGTATAGACATCATCATGATTCATAGAGCATCTAAGTCAGGAATGCACTGGTGTCACAAAAATATCTTTAAAAAAAAAAGGGAATAATTAGCAGTTCGGCTTGTGTTTGCGTTCTAAATGAGTCATGTAAGGTTCTCTGTCTTTTACAGTCAACAGCTGTAACTAAAAAGATCTGAAAAGAACCGCAGAAAATGGATCATCAAGCAAGCGAGCTGAACTTGAGAATAGATTCATGAACGAGTCATTTAGCTTGTTTTGTGAATCAGATCAGGAACTAGGTCAAAAGAATGATTTGTTCATGAATCAAACCAATCCGGATCTCAAATTAACGGCTCGCTCAGGTAATTGAACGCAAAGCTAATGTACAGGACACTTTTAGGACACTTTATAACATCCTTGTTGGTGCTTGACAGATGTGTTGCCTAGACAAGAGCTGTATGAAATTCATTACAAAAAACTGCATTATTACAGTGAACAGTCTTGCTGCATGTTTGCAGGCAATCTAAGCCAATTTAAGTTAAATAGTATAAGCATGTGTGTGTGTGTGTGTGTGTGCGTGCACGCGTTTTTGTGACAAATGAGGACATAAGTTTGTATAATGACAAAGTTCTGACATAGGTATTACAAGGAGAAGGTGACTTTTCAGGACATTACCCCATGTCCACACTTTTCAAAACGCTTATAAATCACACAGAATGGAGTTTATTGAAAATCTGAAATAGCACAAAGTTTCCTGTAAGGGGTAGGTTTAGGGGTAGGGTTGGTGTAGGGCAATAGAATATACGGTCTGTACAGTATAAAAGCCATTACGCCTATGGGATGTCCCCACTTTTCACAAAAACAAACCTGTGTGTGTGTGTGTGTGTGTCTGTGTGTGGCAGGTCAGGTGAGCTGTGGAGTAAAGTGCAGACAGAGTGCACGTTCAGCACAGAGAAATGTGATGAGTCAGAGGGTGTGAGTGTGCACACACAATCGCACGATGAGCTAATAAAGATCTCGGCTCCCAATCTTACGCAGCATGGAATTTTAATTGAGTCACGGCCCATTACTTACCCAGATCATCTTCCCATCCTGCTCCTCTGACACCATACCGCTCGCCAACTGACTAGTCATTTAGCAATTCAGATAAACCGAGGCATTTAATATAAGACGCAGCTTAGCTTAATCTTCTCCGGTCTAAGAGACTTTTCAGCATTAATCACATTATCTCACATACAAAATGATTATCCCTCGCCATCCGCTATGTTAAGAACAGATGACAATGAAACTATCATGAATAAAACATGAACTGATTATGAATATCCAATGATTAGCCCTGCAGAATTTAAACACCAACTTTCTACATATCAACCCTTGTATATTTGTTTGTATTATTATGAATGTTAGTCAGGATGAATGTCATAATTAACTTGAAGCGTATGACAGGCTGTGAGGCACCAACGTTCAATTGGCTGCACTTTGGGATGCACTAATATTAAAATCCTGAATGATACCAATAAGCCAATAATTATTTTCATGTTACGGCATTAAAATGTACAGTATGAAAAATGGATACTCATTTTGAGATTTACTAAATATTCCATTTAACAGAATTACAACCTTTATATTACACTATCATTCAAAAAAAATGTTGGGTCAGTAAGATGTTTTTTAAGAATTTCATGTGAATTCATGCAAGAATGCATTGAATTGATCAAATGACATTAAAGACAAAAACTTTCAAATAAATGCTGTTTTTAGACTTTCTGTTTAACAAAAAAATCCTGGAAAACAAATATTACAAAAATATTAAGTAGCACAACTATATAATAATAAGAAATCTTTCTGAGTAGCAAATCAGCATATTAGAATGATCTCTGAAGGAACATGTGACACTGAAGACTGGAGTAATGATGCTGAA